ATACAACCAGAAAAACTTCCACGTTCAGCAACTACGACTTGCCTCAAGGAACATGTATCTCATGACAGATGGTCATCCCATGTCAAATAGCTTAATACTGTCCTAGTATCCATATACTAAGTAGCTTAAACCTACTCAAACAGATTCTTGTTAACTATCTCATTTTTATACAAGGCATCTTAATCACCAATGGTCATAAAATATTACAATATTTAAGTATGGAAATTATTTGACCTATAAATCCAAGCATAATCATGAAAGAAAGTTCAATTTTTTTCTTTTGGTTATAATGATATAGAAAATATAAATAGTTTAAAACTGTAGCATTTTTGAATGGGGAGGTTGTTTAAGACAAAGTGATGCAGATACATTACTACTGTAATCTCATTCACAAATAAAACAGTACTAAATTGTCTTGGGCACTGAGAATATTATGGAAATACGAAAATTGGGGAGAAATCATCCCAGCAATAAGCAATAAGAAAAGTTTTATATTACCATAAACAAATTAGTTTGTGTTAAACTAGAAGAAAGAACAGGCATTTTAACAAAAAAGCTTTTTCTTTCAGTTGGATAACTGGCATCTAAATAAAACAGACTAAAAAATTGTACATATTTTGTATTCAAACTTTTTTCACAAGACAGAGTTGGTGAAAATGTACAGAGGTAAATAATAATAAGAAGAAGAAGAAGAACAACAACNGAAGAAGAAGAAGAAGAAGAAGAAGAAGAACAACAACAACAACAACAGATAATATGAAACTGCAGATACTCAAACATTTCTTATAATGAAACCAGATTTTTCCACTATGTGTTTTTGGAACTGATATTAAATTTGAAATTTCTGGCTGATTCAATTTTTATTCAAAACAGAAAACTAATGCCCCACATCTTTTCACCCTCTATCTCTTACTTGCCACCCAAGATACAATCACACAAAACATCAATAAAAAGAAAACATCACTACCTCACTATAAAAAGAAGAAAAAAACTTGTCTGTTTTATTGACTTCAACAATGTTTTTCTTGAAACTTGATAAAGTGAAGAAAATTTCACTAACCTTGACTAAGTATGTTGATATCATCTGCTCCCCACCCTTCCCTCCTCCGCAGTTACGCCTCTTTTGAACATGGTAATATAAAGTCATCATGCAATACATGTAAGTATATCTTCACACAGTACAGGATAAAAACAGTCACTTCTGACTGATTTACTGTGTAGATCAAACTGCTACAATTTTATTCTAAAATTCTAGAATGTTACGCACCATTGATCAAGTTTTGCATTATCACATCTTAAAAAAGCATTTGTAATTTTGAACACGTCTTTTAGAAATGATAAAGTTTATTTGCAATCAAATCAAATTTGACATTAGTTCATTTTTCATGATCTAAAAATAATACAGTACATCAGTCCCAGTACAATTTTTTAAATGAGATCTATCATCATATCTTCATTCAAAACTTAAGAACCTTAAAAAAATTAAAGAAATGTTCGTGATCAAAGTGGGTCACTTTGAGTTTCCAAATATCCCCTTTTTTCAAAATATCCCAATAAAAATGCAATTCCTAGATTTTAATTCCTAGATGTAATTTGTCTTCATTAATGTCTCGTCCAATATAATATGTGCACAAATCAAGTTATGAACTCTTCCATTTAAATGAAATTCACTGCCACAGTGACGCACGTCTTAATCACATATACTTAGACATAACATAACTGAAACATTAACTCAGAACATGATTTAGCATGTAAAATGCACCAGTACAAAAACATGTTATATTATCAAAGAANTAAGAAGAAGAAGAAGAACAACAACAACAACAACAACAACAACAGATAATATGAAACTGCAGATACTCAAACATTTCTTATAATGAAACCAGATTTTTCCACTATGTGTTTTTGGAACTGATATTAAATTTGAAATTTCTGGCTGATTCAATTTTTATTCAAAACAGAAAACTAATGCCCCACATCTTTTCACCCTCTATCTCTTACTTGCCACCCAAGATACAATCACACAAAACATCAATAAAAAGAAACTTGATAAAGTGAAGAAAATTTCACTAACCTTGACTAAGTATGTTGATATCATCTGCTCCCCACCCTTCCCTCCTCCGCAGTTACGCCTCTTTTGAACATTGTAATATAAAGTCATCATGCAATACATGTAAGTATATCTTCACACAGTACAGGATAAAAACAGTCACTTCTGACTGATTAACTGTGTAGATCAAACTGCTACAATTTTATTCTAAAATTCTAGAATGTTACGCACCATTGATCAAGTTTTGCATTATCACATCTTAAAAAAGCATTTGTAATTTTGAACACGTCTTTTAGAAATGATAAAGTTTATTCGCAATCAAATCAAATTTGACATTAGTTCATTTTTCATGATCTAAAAATAATACAGTACATCAGTCCCAGTACAATTTTTTTAATGAGATCTATCATCATATCTTCATTCAAAACTTAAGAACCTTAAAAAAATTAAAGAAATGTTCGTGATCAAAGTGGGTCACTTTGAGTTTCCAAATATCCCCTTTTTTCAAAATATCCCAATAAAAATGCAATTCCTAGATTTTAATTCCTAGATGTAATTTGTCTTCATTAATGTCTCGTCCAATATAATATGTGCACAAATCAAGTTATGAACTCTTCCATTTAAATGAAATTCACTGCCACAGTGACGCACGTCTTAATCACATATACTTAGACATAACATAACTGAAACATTAACTCAGAACATGATTTAGCATGTAAAATGCACCAGTACAAAAACATGTTATATTATCAAAGAAAGATCCATTAAAAATACAAGGCTGTGCAATACAGCATTGTAATCCAATCAACTCTTCCTTTTAATTCCAACTGATACTTCATAAAACCAAGAGCAAAAATAATTCATCTCCCTCAAGTAAAATACAAACTACTTTGTCTACTGTTAACAATCTGACACTGAACTCCTTCAATATTATCATTTGGCTATAAACGTTTAAACAACTATCATGACTAATACCAAAATGTATGTGCTTGAGAGTGCCAAGCTATTAATATTCCCATCACCCTTTCCGATATCCCAAGTAAACTGCTCCCAGACATAAGAAGCATCTTTTCCACCTGGTCATCTGTCTATTCCTGGTTCACATTAGTATTTGCATGCTTTCATGTTGCCTCTGTCTGGCCACCATTTAAATTCCCATTATATTATACGCACTGCCACATTTATGGTTCCCCCGTGAAGCAATTACTGATTATAAAAATAACTAAATGTTGCTAATGCTAAGCAGTTATTAAGAGTTAAGGCCTAATATTTCATTTACTTTTGGACGGTTCTAAAAATTATCATGTTACAATGTGCTGAGTAGGACCTTTTTTTTTTTTCAGAAATACACTAATTTTACAGAAAAATAGGCTTCCATAATTTCACATTTATCTATGAAACATCTGTCTTCAGACCTTCTTAACTCAGAAATATTCTTCAATATTTTCACGTTATTCATAAAACACCTGTCTTTACATTGTTTTGTATTATTTACTACTGACACAAACAACAAAAAAAAATCCAAAAAGTTTTGCATTAACTGAATCCATACAAGAAACATCAACAATCTATTCAAAATAGAACTGCTGTATGAAGTAAAAATAATAAATAAACCCCATCCACACCTATGACAATCACTTTTACCTATACAACTAAGATGCATTGTTTCCATCACCCCCATTTCCTTCTGTTTATATTTTTAGTTTCATTTACATAATCCTGTGCCTTATGTTAACAATCACCGTGTACCTCACATGACATGCTCACCATACAAACATGCGTACCACATGGGATTCTGTTACTAGAGTTCAATCACTTTTCCATAGTATATTGACTTTCAAAGAGATCATCAGTGTTGTACTGTAGTGTTGTACACCTGGAGGAAATGCAATGGCTAGGTGTGTTACAGGCACTTCCACACAAGAGAGAGACTAATAACATGTGACTTGCCAGGATGTAGAGACAGTTCCAAGCACACTGTGAAGATGATACAAGTATGTAATAGCTTCGCTGCAAGAGGCCATCAAATGGGAATCTTTGAAGAAACTAAACAGACACCAAATATGAACATTTCGCTTGGAAAATCTACCAACAAATTGCCTCTTATAAATCAAATTTTTGTAGATTATTTTGGGCACTCTATATTCTCCTAAAAAATGAAAGAAGAAAAAAAAATAGATTTGTACTACTGTACTGCTGCAAAACTATCAATATATCATTCATCATTTTTATGCTTACTGAACAATAATTGAATTTCAGATTTGATATCACATAGATTTATTATTTCTGCATAGAGAATTTTTTAATATTGATACATGTTCAACATGTGAAAACAACTTCACTTGAAACACATTTCTGCTTAAAACAATACTGCTGTCTTGAATTACATCTCCCAAGGTAAAAGGTAACATGAGGAAAAGGGACTACAGAGGTGAGGTAAGGAAAGAAAAACTGATGCAAATATTCAAGCAGGTGTAGGTCATAGCAGAGGATTCTCTTACACAACAGATCATCATTCTTTTAACATCCAAAACCTGGAGAGCCAGCCGCCGGTATCTCAGCTCCTCAGCTGTTCCCTGCTGCCTAATTTTATCTATAGAGACTGAATATGGTTGGTAATTAGACACATAGGGTCCCAGTGCCAATATGCAAACATGCCTCTTCCATATAAGTAGGTAAGGGGCAGCCTTCATGATCTACGTGGTTACCTGGGTAACTATATTTGAGCAGAGGTGCATATCATTTACCTGCCCTTCTCAGCTGTTAGCTGGGGATCACTAGGGACATTTACAGGAATGCCAACAGAGCCAGCATAATGAAGCATATTGCACTTTTCATGGGGGGACCAAAATATCCCTTTCCTGCAACCTTAGCTATCTGCAGAGAAACTGCAAGTACACTGCAATGCCAAAGCAGCAGCCCCTGTCTGCCAAAACATTGCAACAGGCCACTTGTTGTGGCGGCATTTTGCATGCCTCTATACAGGATAAATTAAGAGAAAGGCTCTTTAGTATCGGTGTGAGAATGTGATCAGCTGACTGAGCTCTTCCTCTTGGAGTGGTAAGAAGAAGAAGACAGCTGAAAAACTCGAAGAAAAGCGATAGCATCTTTTGATGGCACGTTGCAATCAATAGGCCAGTTAATGAACTTCTACTCTATAGCTGAGCAAGGAGCAAACTACCATGTGCTCTGGCTGATTCAAACCACAGAGAATGGTCTTCTATCTCACCTGGGAACAAACCCAATAATAATAGCCTCTTTTCCGAGAGCAGGTTTTGCCAGCAGCTGTGGCCCCAGTGTGTATGGCCAGTGAGGCTGTGGGATCAGACCGATTCAGTCTGGAACAGACACAGCTAGCTATCCAGACAGTGGAGGGAGGGAAAGGGTCACCACACACCAGTCAGAACACAGAAGAACTGGATTTCAAATGGAGTGCAAGTTGCATTAAATGGATACTGTATATCTCTGCTGCAGGGAGCACACATAGAAGACGGACAACAACTGATGGGTCTGGATTGATTGGTCCGTTGGTTGGAAAAAGGTCATTCTTTACTCAACAGGAGGTAAGGATACATTGGAAAGAAATGAACAAATCATAAATGTGCTTCTTTAGGAAAGAAATATTGATTTTGTCTATTGCACTTTTAGAAAATAAATACATACAAATGGCCAAACATTATTCTCATTATGCACACGAAGTAGTAATTTAACATTTCCCTCAAAAATGTTTCATATAAATATTTTTTAAAAATCTGATTTCATATAATATGTCTGCAATTGCCATGTAAACTACAGACTTAGTCTTAAATACCAATCGGGTTTACTAAAATATTGAGCATTTCTTAATCTAATAGACAAAATGAGAATCCCATTAGTTATGAAAAGTTGATGTGGTTTTTCATTTTCTGCCCATTGTTCCGCAGCAATATAGCCCGAGTTCCTACATCGGCCTGCATGAATAAGCATAATTACAGTCAAAATTGATTGTGAATCGAAGACCATCTGTACTTAATGTTGCCTTTTCTATTGATGATAGCAACATCCAATCTCTAAATCTCCCATCTGGTCCACTGACAATGGACAATGACATTAACTGGTCAATAACTTGCCATTTTCTCTTCTTGCTACTTACGGTAAGCTTATGTCTAAAATTAACAGCAGTCTGCAGGGCTTATGATGATGATGATGCCGAAAATAGGATGAATATTCAAAAATCAACTTTTTTTACCATAAATTTTGCACGAAGTTATCTCACAGTGGTCTCTGGAATTTGCCACGTTTGAAATAATTAATATTCGTATTACAGAGAGCAAGGCTATGGACCTATTACTACTGAATTGCAGACAGCAGACCACAAAATATCTATTCTAAAGCCAGTCCATTGATGGCTGGCATAACGTAATTATGGTACTATCTGTGAATCTAATTTTACTCAGGACGCAATCAATTAGATACACCAGATAGACAGCCATGTTGCAGGACAGAAGCACACAGACAAGAATGGGTCACAGTTTTCTCATCACTACAACAATTTAGTAATATCCTGGGCAGCAGCTTAAGACTAATACAGTTTTTTTCCACAATGAAAGGATTCATTTTCTTTTTATCTTCATTTCAGCAATTTTGTATCGTGTTTAAGAAGGCTATAGACAGTCGATTTTAATTTTTCACAACAAAAGACGTCTTTTGAATGCCACTTCATTTCAGGGATTTTGCATCATCGACAATGGCAGCAATGGACTGATGTTTTTTCACACTGAAGGCTTGGTGGTAGGTATCTCTGGGGATGAAGATCAATAGCCAATGTGCTGTTGTGGCTGGTTGAAGGGTACCAATCTACACTGTTCATGAAGCTCTGGAGGGCTGTGTCTGTGTGTCTGAGAGATATGAATAATGAGTGAACAATTCCACAAGAGTGGCACATCTGGAGCAAAGCGTGTGATGACCATCAGGGTATGCAAGTATAATGGAGTATGTTAATGAATGTGAGGAAAGAGAAAGAGAAAAGGAAAGAGAAAAGGCAGCGCAAGCATGCGGATTAGAGAATGTTACAGAGTATGTGACGACATTAAGCGATGCAAAACTAAGACTGATGACATGATATGAGAGACATGTCCCTATGAGGTGTAAGAGAGCTCACTGATTTAGTCCATTCTTAGATTTTACATTCTAGCAGCCTTCCTGTAGGAAACACTATAGGATATGCCATTCTAACGTCAAGTATCCAAGATGGCCACTCATAGTCCCAGAGATACCAGAAGTACCAGATGGGCAGTCTGTGTTCACAGTGGGTGCTTTCAAGGACAATGACCCACCATGATGTGATATGGAACAAATGGCATGGTCAGTACAGCTATATCTGCAATAAAGAACTGCTCACTGAGAGCCAATTTTGGCTATCAATACAAGAGGAGGTAAGGCACATAAAGCTCTTTCATATATATATTCTACCATCAGTATATATCTGTGTACTTGAGTACATAAATAATTATTTTTCAATCAATTTTTAGGTAAAAAATTAAACATGAGCCTGTTTAATGAAATTTCATTGCTTTTTTGCTTGCACGCAGATCTCCACAGCAACTGCACTAGATTTATATATGTAGACATATTATCATGCAAATTACAAAATATATGAATTATAGGAAAGAAGATCTTAAAACAATGCACCACCAAATCAATTGAACATATTTTTCCTCAAACAGACTTTCTTCCTGTTGAATTTGGCAAGCTTCTAAAATCAATACTTTTTTCTCTCCAGAGAACAAAATTGATTTAAAATAGAAACATATCTTAAACGAAACCCTTTTTATGCACCTCCCCAACTTCGGCCTCAATTATTTATATCATCATTATCAACTCTTCTGCTTTGGCTCTGCTTTATATCTCAGCTGCAAGCTTTATCTTATTAAGAAGACCTCTAATATTGTCAAGGGCCAACCTTGTCCAATCAACTGTCTCTTTCCTCTAGACAGACAGTGCTATTAGGATAAAATCAGTCAATATCCATAAGAATGTGCAATGGTAGAAGTTTGGTTTCGGTCATAATGCGAGCCAAATGCATTGACACGCAGACTAAACGGCTGTGTTGGAGTGTGGTAAATGAAAAAGAGGCCTGTTTGGGGAGGCAAATGTACCTTTACACTGTAGCTAGCATAGTAGAGTTGAGATTGAAATGTTATTCTGTAGCTGGTTGAAGTCGGGCCAAATAGTCTGTGTTGTCATGCATTTGGTCCCCTTCAACCAGCTGTAGTGAGCATTATGGCCAACAGGGGGCGGGGCAACTCTCCCTTCTAACTTCTCCAGTCTGGACACCACTGGACTTTCAATGCAGACTAACTGGTTGGTAGGTACTACACAGACTGCCACCTTGACATCTGTCCTATGTACATCCTATAGATTAATATTCAGAATAGAAGTGATTAACAATACATTCCCTTGGTCTCATCATTAAAACAGAAATGGCATCAAGAGTTCACTTGATCATTAAATTTGTATTCATTCATTCATATCACAATTGAGAAATAAGTCTAATGAATTATTCTAAGTTGGTAAATTATTGGAAATTAGAGGCATACGACAGAACTCATGAGCCTTCCTGTTTATCACCCGCTATATTAATAGAGCACCCTGTTTACTCTGCTATATAATATATTGACAACAGACATTGACAACAAAATTAAGTTTGCCAAATGGTTTACATAACTATTGCCATTGCATTATAGTGCATGTGGATAACTTATGAAATTAATACAACATAATATAATGGGATAATAAGGTTATTAACTTATATACCAGCAGTGGGGTAATAATAGATTTGCTTCTTCATTTTGCAACGTATAATCTTAGATTGAGTTACATTGCCAAGTGTTCCAAAATACTGGACATACCTGTTTGCACAGAGAGCTCAATTTCACCTGCCAAAATGCCATGTTTTTTCCTTCATCAACCATAGCAGCAGAACAGCTGGACATTTATTCTAGGAAACTGGACACTGTGGACTATATGTGTCAGTGAAGGAAAAATTGAACACAGAGATGCCACAATATTTTACAACCCTTTTGGATTTTCTGGAATTATGCGTGCTGAGACACTGTGGGGGAATACACCACCCAAGTTCCTGGAGTGATCACCTGCAACTGTTTGCCCTTATCAGCAGTACTCATTCCATGTCTACCTCTTTCTCTGCGCTGGAATACCATGGTTACCGATTTTATGGGCTTGTGTGTACTTTTTTGATTTAAGACCACATTACCATGGTGGATTAAAAAGTTTTCTTAGAACTTTTATTCACGTTTTATTTTCTAAAGTTGATATCCACAACCTTTTGGTGATAAAGTTAAAATACAATAACCTATATTGAAATTTTAACTCCCCCCCCCCTCACATTAGATAAAATGGATTGTGAAATTGATTTTCTATTTTGACTGAGATTTATTCCCTTTGGTTCAAAAATCCATTCCTTTCCTGAAAAAACATTAAAAACAAGAACCCACTTTCTTTGATTCTCAACTTCATGTACAGTGTGTAGGCAAACCACTTTTTTTATGGAATGAAATATGTCTCTTTCATCACCGTATAAGTTCCAAAATTATTAAGATCCACAAGAAAAAGTGAGCACTATGTCATTAAATATTTTAAAAGGCTCCTACAATTGCTTATATTTCATCTAAACATGTTAGTAAATACAGTGGGTTACATCAATGTCTGTATTAAAAAGCGGGCCATGACCAGGCTGTTATCTTTTCCATATGGTAGATGATACATTTTGCACATGCCTTGTCTTATGATCACTTAACTTTATCATGTGATATGTTAAGATCACAAGATCAATACTAAATCATTTAGATCTACTTTTTGATGACGTAGTACCTATGAACATATTTATACTATTGTATTTCATGGGACTTCAATGTTTTATGATGCTGATATGTACATGTGGTATGAATTGTCAATAAAAAAAAAAGTTTATCTAAACCTATTGTTCCCTATTTTTTCGTTAGTTAATTCTTCTGGATCAATGACACTGAGCTTATATTTTTTGTGCATTATCTTAAAAATCCCGCCGCGCAAATTAAGTTCAAATACAATAAGTTCAGTTTGGTTACAAATCTATGCAAATTCATATATATAGTTTTAAATAAACAGCTTCTTGGTTTTTAATCAACAACCTTTCTATCCCCTTCAAAGATCAATTATTCCATTTTCCTGAAAAAAAAAAAGACAGTATGGATGATCCATAAAATGGATCATTTCATGAAGTTATAGAAAACTTGCAACTTGACTGGAGTTTGTCAAAAAAAAAAAAAAAAAAAAAAAAAAAGCCATTTTTGTTAAGATAACTTTGCTACTATTTCACCAAAACCATGCAATTACCAAAGAGTATCTGTTCCAACAATCTTGCCTCAGTGTGACCTAACCAATGTGTCCCTAATAATCTCAATTTTGAATGATGGGAGGCCAACAGAGAGGGATTATTATTTCAAATCCCTGGCAGGACACTGCTGCACTGGTGTTCTCTTATGAACTGAAGCCATTACTCCCTGACAGAAACAATCGATATTGTGACGACTTTTTGTTTCATAGTGGAGTGCAGACCTATCTAAAACTCAGTTTAAGCCAGTTTTTACCAAATATCATGTTTTCAATTTAGAACTGTAAGACTAAAGGGCCATTGTAATTTGAGGGTGCATTCCTTTAAATACCATGGGTCTACGTGGAATGACCTTACTCTATGGGGATTCTTGCTGAGTGCAATCAGCTTAAGAGATTAACATGTCTCCTTCTGGTGTTAAGTAGAATACAGAAAAACTGGTGATTATACGACTACATTGGAAACAAAAGCAAGTATGTCATGTAATTCAGATGATTGCACTTTGCGAGAGTCCCTGCAGAGTTGGGTTGATTTTCATTAATGTTAAATATCAAGTAAAAAATATTAAAAAGACTCTTTAAGATTGATAAATCCAAAGATGCTTCCTTCATTCAGTGAAAAATATGCAAACATCTGTATTTTAGGCAAAAACCATAGAATTCCATCATATTTATATTTCTAAAACTTAACCTGTGTTTTCATAAAAAAAAATTGCCTGGAGTACAGAACTCATTTCTATAATCTTATCGGGTAACAGTTGCTTTGATGTACTAATAAATCTAAATGTATCTCACAAATGCTATTGCCATTTATCAGAGAAAAATATAGTTCGACCAAAATGTCTCAGACAATCTTCAGGGAATACAATGCTTACTTACACATTCTTTCAGATTGCAAATTTTGGCATCAAATTTCAAATACTGGCTAATATGCAGAAAATAAAAAGAAACCAATCAATAATGGTCTTCTTATTATAAACCAGTAAATATTCTATCCTCCACAAAGTAACAGACAACACAGAGCTTCCCTGTTTGATATTGATTCTAGAGGGTCCCCAGTGAACAATATTAAGCCCATTACCAGGAAACTTGGAACTTTCCGGAGGATAACAAATGGACCGCAAATCACCACATCGCAGCCTTGTCGATACAAGCCTTTTAGAGAGTTTCGAGTAAAATAATACGCTGATACGCTGACAGGGCTGTTTTTTTTTTTAATCAAAAAATGAAGCTGGGTAACCCACCCTCAAATTGACAACAAACCAAACCGGAATAATTCTAACAATACACAGCAGTTTTATGACAAGGCTGGGGTATACTGAAGTCAATGAATAATTTCTTGTAACAGCAACTGATTTCCATCCAATGTAGCCTTGGGGAACACATTTTGTATTAATTCTCCCAGTTTGGGCCCTCCCACACAGACCTGCATGCCCTGGGTCCATTGATCATCATGATTTAACTATGGGCCTCAAGCCAACGGAAAAACTATATAAAACACAAGCTCATCAACTGAAATCATAAGAATTATCTTCCAAGTCTCCACATGCACTTATTGCAGAATTTTAGATACATAAATTGAGAGATATGCATTAATCATTATTACACTTAATCCAAGAAGTCACACCACAAATATCTTTATGCGTCCTCTTCCAATATCCACCCATATTTCAGCTTAGTCAGATATTGGGAAGATATTTCTAATGACAATTGTACTAAATATTATATAGTAAAAACTTCATGTTTTTGTGAGACTTTCTTCATCCATACAAAATATACTATGACAGTCAACATGTGAACCTTGTCCTTTTTTCAAAGATATTTAGTATTAAAATTACAAATACATTTTGGTCTTATCTCCATTCAATCTCTTCACTCAGAAAAAGAGAACTACAAGAAAGAAATCATGCAACATGGTGCGTCATAGCCTTCCTTAACATTACACAAGGGTGATTCAACCAAATATATCACTTAACTCTGGCCTTTTTAGAAATGGGTAATAAATTGAGGTACTGCCTAATCTAGTGCAGTTATATAATACATGTATCATACAGTATCTGATGTAAGATGCCTTAACACTGATGTGCCCTGCATCAACACTAGAATGAACTAAATAACATTTACATTTTCTTTGTTTTATTTGCTTAAGACTTATTATTGGCAAAAATATTAGACTCATTTTATACAATACACATAATGCACCGGAATTCACAGAAAATTTTAGACTGCCATGCTGCAAGGCTTAAAAAAACATCCTCTCTCTCCAAATTTGCAATTAGTCATTTTTGTAAACGAAAGCACCAACTTGCAGAAACCTTCATCTTGGATATTCCAGCATACCGTTTACGGGGTTTATCTGATTATATCAAACACACACAACTACACATATATACATAAAGGAGATAAGAGCGATAGTAGTAGTATAAAAAAATCATGTAACATACATAAAATCAGACTTACTTGATTTTCCTTTATTGCCTCTCTTGAGCTTTCATCTGAGATGGTCACAATGGATAATATTTACAGGTAGCATTTGAATATACATGTCTCAAACAGCTGCTAAAAAAACTTTTGGATGTGCCGCGAACATTGAAGAGTATCGCACAATACAAAGATTACAGTCACTGCATAATGACAATGCAATCTCCTCTACAGCATTTCCGAATGCCGAAAGTTTAAACATTCCAGACTTGAAGCAATCACATCTCAACAACCACATTTTCTCCCCATCTCTGGAGCCTTTCATATATACATGTCCATCTTTCACTTCTAACAACCTCTCTTACATGTAGTCACAGTTTTTCACACCACAACATATAACTCTTCCACATATTTCTTGCAGCATCTATTACCCAATGACCAACACAAAAATAAATTTCACATACAATAAATTTGACTTCAAACATACATGTAACAATACACAAGTCCTTATCACTCGTTCATGAAGATCACCCACATGCTTATTTTTATTCCTTACCTGGGATTTCCTCTCAGAGCTGCGTGGTGTAAAGCATTGAAGCCATTGTTATTGGTCAACGTGATGTCTGCACCATACTCCAGCAGCAGGCTGATCATGTCATCTCTCTTCTTGCTGATAGCATCATGAATAGCCGAGTCGCCTTCAGAATCCTGACAAAATTTAATCAAGTAAAAAATGTTAAAATATTAAAATATACTATCCAGATAATTTTCATGAACTTACTTTTACCTTGGTTGTTATCCAGAGTATATTAATGGGTCACCTCACCTGTAAGCTAGGGTGACATCCCAGCTCCAGTAACATTTTCACCACACCGATGTGACCTTTATTGACCCCAATGTGGAGTGGAGTTTGTCTCCTCTTGTTCCTGGCATTGAGATCAGCACCCCCTCTATGGAGCATGTCAACCACTGACGGCTCATCACCAAATGCTGCATGATGCACAGCCCTGTCACCATCTTTGTCCTACGAGGAAGTGACAACAAGAATACAGTCTTTTTCCCAATTAATTACATTCCTACTACTAACAAAACCCCCTTTTCTTCAGTTGAAGTAACAACATCAATCAAAAGAAGTTTTCAATTCGGGAAATTCATTAGCATCATAACTAATCAACAGATGTTCAACTTTAAGTACCATCTTTAATCTTTCTCATTCTTTTATTTGGTCAATTTTCAAAGTAATGCTTAGATTGAAATGCTTAACCTTGGCACACCCTCATTTTTATACCTCTATTTCCATATCCAAGTCATACTTCATCAGTGTCTTGATGACTTCAACATGGCCATTTTGGGATGCTGCTTGTAGTGCAGTGTGTCCAGCAAATACTCCATTGGGCTGCAATAATCAATAAAACAATAGACATTTTGCAGGAACAGTCTAGTTGTGAAAATATACAGCTAAATTGTTTTATTTATACAAATCTGTACCTCTTTTTATCATTAAAAATTACACAAACATTTGCTCATCCACCAAACATTATATAAACTTAAAATTCTGTTCAAAACAAGGATAAAACACCTGATCAAGTTGGGCCATCCATACTGTCCAGTAAAACCCCCAGAATACCAAACAGATAATTACATTAATATTTTCAGTTTCAATATCACACTTCTAAATAATAAAAAGAACGTACATTTGGCAGACTCACATCAGATTCTGTCCTCTGCAGAATCTCTTCACACTTCTGAGCATCACCATTAGCGGCGGCTTTCACCAACTCTTCATTTATGTCTCCTGACACATGAGTCTCAAACAACTTCTTCAACAGAGCACTCAAACGTTCTGTTAAAATGAGAGCAAGAATAATACAGATTTAAATTAAATGTTATGATGATGCCAACATATATACCATCATTTCGCAAGTAAATTATCCCCCTTCCCAGATCATTGTCACTAGCAAGTGATGCCACTATTAAGCAAATAATGATTTCTTTTCATAACAATTACAATTTTTCCATTTCACATTGCACGTGAAACAGCTTAAGATGTCATTAGCTTATATATGTATAAATGGGTCACGGCTATTCTTTATAAAGCATTCATTCACAGCAAAGAATGCATTTATCTAAAAACTTGAATTAGTCACCTCCTGAAGAGTTTCCTACAGTGGCTCCATCTGCAGATGCCACTTTGGTTACAGCTGTTGGATTATATGTCCATGATGTCCCACACACTTCTACCTTCAAGTCATTGTCATGATAGATCTGCTGTACTCGGCCAATCTTGCCTAGTGTCTACAGAAGTAAATGAAAACATTGTCAATTTTATAAAGACCAGCTTTTTAATAAAGGATTGAAAGGTAAAAAGAATTGTATGATACACTTGGAAAAAAACAGCCAAAACTGAAAACAAAAACTTGGATCTTTTCAGATCTGAAATAAACAAAACTGTTAAATTATAATTAACATTCAACAAGGGTGAGATCATCACACATTATTTTCAACACGTCACCCCTATCTTTTTTTTTAGATTCTGCACCACTGCTGGAGCAAGAAAGACTTTGAAAGCACCATCCAGACTTACTGGCATCATGGCCTCAGCCCATTCCCCATGCCCTCTTTGTAACACTTTGATCCTCTCTGTGTCACTACAGATCTGCACCAGGTCACCCACTGCAAACTGCAGACTGGTGTTGACAGATTCTGTGGAGGCAGATATGGAGCTGATGGTATTCACCTTGGTAAGAACTGCTGGGTTAAATGTCCACCTGAAACACACACACACAAAAAAAATTAATATCTTAATTTCATGATATCAATGTTGTTTTGAAAAGATGAATAAAGTAAGGCTGACATTGCTGAAAGCAAGAATAAAATACAAGGAGTACCTCACACCAATAATTTCCCCTTTCTGCCTTAAACCTCAAATTCAATGTGTCACCCAGTAAAATAGTTATAATGACCATATATCACAATATATAAATAATGTGTGCAATAATGGCATTGCTTACCTATTTCCACTTGGATATGACACAACAATGTCATGGTCCTCATCTATCCCTACGACTGTCCCCGTTGTTCCCAAACACTATGGAGAAGGAATATCTGATTAATATTTGCTGTAGGAATACATTCAAGCTAAACACCTAAAAGGGTTAGCCCAAATCCAAGAAATCCTCAATGAGATTCAAAATTACCCTGACCAGTTCATGTCATGATAAAAGAACTGCATCAACAAATACCCTGATATAATAGTTTATGCAAGAAAAAAAAAACATTGAAACAATGCAACGATACAGCAATTACCATACATTACACATAATTCAATTTACAATGTTGATCAAAATGGTGATAGCAAAGAAAAATTGATGAAGAACTCTACCTCAAACATCCCATCTGTCCAGCCCCCATGTCCATGCTGTAAGGACTGAACTATCTCTAGATCCAGGTCCACATTGACTTGATCATTAATGGCAAACCCACTAGCACCTGACCTTGACCCAGCACCTGCTTCACCTAATTGAGGTTGGAATGTTTCTTTAAAATATTGCCTCATTTTGTAGTGATGTAAGATTTTATTTGTAAATATGGATTCTACATTGTTGAAATGAGTATAGTCAGGGCACATCATTTGTTTTACAGTGGTGTTTGTGGTGGAGGTCTGATTTTTGTTGTATATAGGCTCTTATTACTTTTCAAATATTGAGACATACCACTGAGGATTGGAAATAACTTTGAGTTGATATGATATAATTATAGCAGTTTACCTAGCAGAGGTAAATGGTCTCTGTAGAAAGACCCTCCTTTGGCATCATTGACAACCTTAAGGTCAGCCTGAAACAACATTTTGAATTAAAGAGCTTCCTAATAAACAGCATTTTCTACAAGCATAAAAACTGTTTATAATTTATTATTTTCAACAATTGATTTACACAATTGAAACCTTTACCATTACAGCCTTTCCATCAAGCAATATTTAAAGTGGTATGATGGTACATAATATGAAGTAGTAAGAAGATTTCCAGCATTTCAGTTCTATAAATCCATGTCTTGTGTATTATATTATCTACAAAAGGCAGAGAATACAAAACAATGTACAATTAGAGTATTACCACTAGTCATCTTTTTCAAATGTATACAAGTTTTAACACTTTTTGAGTAATATCAATTACTTTAATACTTATATATACTTACCATTCCTTCAAATCCAACCCTGTATAAATTCTTAGCACCATTATCCCAGATGACATAGGCAGCACTCCTAGGACTTGCTGCACTCCAGTCCTGAACATAAGATAGTCAACACTTTCATAAAATACAGTAAGGCCACACTTTTTTAATTTTATGGATGACATCCTGCGCGCGCACCGATTTTCGTCCGTTCTCCAAAAAAAAAGAANAAAGGGTCGACAGGGCGTCGAGGTATTCGGTGGGCTGTAGGTCGGTCAGGCCACCCGACAGTTTGGCTGCTTCGTGTGAGTCGAAGTAGACCAAATGGCATCGACTGAAATGACCTTTTATAGATTTGGTAGTATTAAGCATATCTTTCAAGTTTGCATCATTTTGTAACATTTCTGTGTAGTGTTCATAATGCTTTAATATTCTGAGAGTACAAATAAAGACATGCTGTTTGATTGATATTTGTTTTATTGATTGTTATACCAACAAAATGCATGAAATAACCCTAAATAGATTGGGTAATATGCAGCATGTCTATCAGGCCCGTAGCCAGCAATTTCAAAAGGGGGGGATCTTTTTTTGAAAAAGTGGGCCATTTTCCATAAAAACTTAATGTATCTAGATATAATTTTACCTAGAGTGGACCTTTTCCCAGCAAAAGGGGTGGTTCTTTCAAACCCCCTGGCTACGGGCCCGTCTATTCATGACTTTTTTACCTTTCTACGAAGTATTCACAATGCTTTAATATTTAGAGAGCATGGATAAAGACATATTGTTAGTTTGATATGTGTTTCTGTGGTAAATTTGTGTTTCCAGCTGTGTACTGACGGCATTCCTTCACTTAAGCAGCATTTTTTTTTTTTTGGACTGTTTTTTTTTTTTTCGCCCTCTCGCACCGATTTTGGGGTCCCCAGAGGATGTCATCCATAAAAATAAAAAAGTGTGGCCTAACTAAGTGACACAAAATCATCTAAAAAATCTACATTGACTAGATAAAACTGAAAACAACAGGCTTCTACTAGATACCAGAATTTGAGAGAATATTTTGAGGTGCATCTGATGGTAAATTATGTACTTCGAAAAATGACTTACTTGTATTTCAGTAACTTTTCCTCTCCTTCCATTTCCTCCATCTTGGTCTTCCCACTGCCAGTCTACTCCTCGTACAACACGAGCTCCAGGAAATATCCCTCTAGCTGTGATTTTCTTACTTTTCCTCCTAGGTTCCACCAAAACTCTGAAATAAACAAATGACCATTTGTGTGTACTAAGATATCACTGATCCCAGCTGCTCGTATTGAGTTAAGGAAACAGTTATCAAAATGTTGTGGTCAATTAATTGTCACAGTTATTTGATGTCAAGGTACATAGTCACAGCATCATTTCTATTTACTCCACATTCCAGGTACTTTAACCATCAAACATCAATGATATTTGAAATATTGCAACGCATTTTAGCAAATTACACACAACATCTATTCACTACAAAACTTAATTACATTCAATTTACTTTCATCATTTAATAAAAAAGGAGGGAATGTTTAAATCACCTTTCACTTCCTGGTGTGTTAATCCTATAGAACCTGTGCCTGAGATTATGCTTGTCTCCATGGTAACAGACTGAACACAGATCATAATTCGAGCATTCTGCACATTTCCAACGAATCCCAAATATGGGTTGTTGCCGGCAGGTGTCACACATGGTTCCATCATGCTTGATTCCTTCAAAATTAATAATAATAATAATAATTATTATTATTATTACCATTATAGTCTAGGATTATTTTGTTGTCCATATACCAAAGGGCATAAAAACTCTCTTTAGCTGACTTCAGCACTAACAGCATATGGAGAATGTCCTAAAATAAGAGATTTCCTCAGTATCATTTCATTATCTGGGCTTACCTTGATTTGAAGGTGAAATGTAAGTGTTATACAAGGTTTAATTGTATGTCCTGCTGCAGTGGACAAAGTGTCTATCACATACCTGACAATTCAACAATCACACCAGCAGGTGACACCTGGTTAAGCAGGTGATATGTACAGCAAACTAATAAAAGCTGCATTCATATCACCTTGAAGTTTACCTTATACAGGTCTAGGTTTAATATAATAACAAAAATCATGAATATTACTCTGAGCAATGATTTTGAATTAAATAACGAATTGCCTGTTGGATGACTTAAAATTTGACTATAAGGAAAGAAAAGCCCAATTATCATTAGTGGTTTCGGTTACATGACAATGTGAATATGAATTACTTATTTAATTTTGTGGAGAGCATATAATGCTTCCAGCGCCTTGCCTCCATTTCTTTTGAATAAACGTTGTTTTAACCCTTGTAATAACCCTTGTTGTTATTCTGTTGTACATGACTGTTCAATCTACAGAAGTACAGACTCACAAAAATAAAAAATACATCATGACAGTGTCAAATACTATTATTTTAATTTCCTCTCTATACTTGCCCTTTCTAATAGTCATAACACCTGCCAATCAATGAAAAACAGCACACAGCATGACAAACACAATCACACTACATTCTCAGGTTTCAAAAATGATTTAGACAAAATTTGATAGATATATGTGCTCATAACTCAAGTGAAAATATCAGGATAAAACATTTTGTGTCTATGCTATCCATCTGCTAAAATGCTTTCATAACAACAGTTCCTTTCTTGCTACTCAGCGATTGCAAAGGCAGATACAAAATGTAATTGATATGAATAACAACTGCTGTACAGTATGAACCAGGAGCTTATTCACCTACATTGTCTTTATCTGACATACAGTAAAGTCATAGGCAATGACTTAAATCCCTACCAGAATCAAACAGGACCATACAAAAGTAACAAAACAGTGTGGTAATCATTGATGTTTAGAAACAACTATAAAACCAGTCTATTTGTATAGTCGTCAAAAGCAAGCAATGATGACAGTGTTTTCAATCTGGTTTACTGGGCCCAATTTCAAATATTGTTTTTACAGCAATGCGCCAGTGTAACATGGTGAGTAACCAATGACAGAAATACATCCAAAATGTAGGAAGTTCTGACAATGAAGACTGACAAAATGACCAATACATTTTAGGTGATATAGTTTAGAGGTTAAATACACCTCTGCAATAACACATTCGATACCAACCTGTTGGTGCACTGTCCAAAGTTCTGAGATCGTAAGCTCCAGCACATCTATAATTAGCCGCAGTTCCATTATCCCACACTACGACCACTTCTTCGGGGGATTCGAAGTTCCTCACCGTACCAACATGACCCTCACCTCCGTCTTGTTTGCCCCATTTCCAGTCTGGTCCTCGGGCTACTCGGGCTCCGACACCCTCCACCATACTTGCCCGCACTACCCGATTCGACCCTACTACATTCGAGTCCATATCGGGGGCAGGTTATTTGACAGTTTCCAAAAATACCGATGTTTCCTCTACCTCCAGTGCTAAAATGGCGACTCTGCTTCCTGTCTCTTTTTCGATTTTAAATTCATTTGATAACGAGACTAATGAATTTACCTAAAAGTTTGGAAAGAGAAATATGATGAAGAAGAAACAAAGTTTTGACAAGGTTTTTATGAGAATGATAGGTGCAATTACATGTGGATTACATTTTGTGAATTGTGAATAATAATTTCAGTTTAAGTGAATTCCATGAGTGCAATTTGCTACATGGCTTCATTACAAGTATGAAGTTTTCGAACTTCTACGGCTGTGGTTTATAAACAAAGATGTCTACCTCCACGAAAAAACATCGGTCAAGAAGAAGGGTCGCTGCTTTGAACTTTTTATCGAATATTTCATTGGATGGCACACACAGAGACACGAAATATGCAATATTCAACAGAAGAGGGTTCATTAGAACGAGCAGTAACCAGAGACAGAAGGAAAAGAATGGAGAAAAAGAACCCAAATTGGACGAAAGTAGTGGAGAGACGATTATTCCATCGTCAACATCGACAATTGAAGCGGAGCAGTCGGTTCCACCGGTATCAGTGCCACAGCGAAATACATTTACTGTTAAATGTGACGTATATGACGATGGGAATGAGGACGCTGTGCCCGCGATATCTCCTACTAAACGCCACAGGTGTGCATTTGGATTTTTGTCTTCAACCTATGTCTTTATGTTATATATAGTGCCATTGGAGGCTTTACGTAACTTGGAAAATCAAATTGAAGCAATTTTTGGTCAGCAAAACAATTAAAGAGAAATATTTAATCAGTTCTTACACCCTTTGATGTCATTTTCAGTATTATGGATTCGCTTTGTTTAGGTTTGAAAAACCAACAAATATATCATTCAGCTTCTTCCTTATCTTTTCCCAGGCGGTTTTATCCTTAAACCAAAGATGTTCACATGAACACAGTTTTTTTCCCTTAAAGATGACTGTTACTGTATTTTATTCTTTTTCTTCTTCCTTGCCTGCACTGTTTAAAACATAACCCCAACATGACATAACTGAAGATGTATGTTGCATAAACATATTGCCAAACGTCTTTTTCAGTATTTTTTAAAGAACCCCATCTAAAGAAGCTGTAAGATTTTGATATCATAATCTCCTTTCTCAGTGATGCTGGCAGCTTTGAGCAAGCAAAGGCCATAAAAATTTTCCTAATGAAATATGGGATGGGAATCATCTGAGATAACGTGACATCAAAAGGACTAAAATGCTAGGATCTGCTTGATGTGGGATTGACCTGTTAGACATAAGGGTGAAACTCTTTGCACTGGGAATATCTTTTTAGAAAGCAATACAAAAGTGAGACTTAAAACATGGGGGACACTTATTGTTGTGTGTACCATAAGCTGTAATTCAACTTAAAAGAAAACATCCAAAAAAAATGTGGATAAATTTGTCAACTTTTATTCATTGCTCCACTATAATCACTAGACTGTCATTATTTCTGTTCCTACTCTTCTCCAAACCCTGCAAAATATTGGGCACCTGAATATGAAACTTTGGAGTTATCTCAGTGATTACCATTCAAACACTTTACATATATTTCCATTTCAGGTAAACATCACTTGTCTTGTTTGTGTGAGAGTTATATGTTGGAAATTGAATTTTAAATTTCTTTCAGTGAATTAGACGACATGCCATACTCAACTTCACCTAGGTAAACTTGTGACTACTCACTTGAGTGGTGTTCAACAGTTTTTAACAGTTAGATTTAATTAATTTTTGTTGGTGTGAATATTATTAATTCTTTAATGCTTTTTTTTTTCACTTTAGTTTCACCCTCTAAAGGATTGCTGTTCTGTCCTTTGTGCACAGTTGGATGTAGTTATTTCAATTTGAGTAGCATGACCTTGTTAAAAATCAAAAGAACAAAAAACTCCTTTGACATTATCTTTTGGAAATAGGTTGTTCTATCATCAGCAAAAAGACCCTACCTTTAAAACTTAGATGAGCAAGATGAAATTTTGCATCAAAGTGAATTTTTTTTTCAACTGCACCAGCAGCTCTCTTTATTTATGTAGAACAAATTGTTTTCGTTGTGTTTACAAGGACAGTTACAAGGTATGTTGCAGTATTGTTTTCATTATGTGTTCAAAGGACACAGTCCATAGTTGTTTACAAGCCCACAACAGCATGCTTCATGTATGCAGTGATGAAGGAATGCCTAAAAAGATTACATAATGTTTTTAAGCAGAGATTAGTGAGCAACAAAAAAATATGGGCAAGAAAGGGGAGGTGGCTGTCTTACTCTTGGATTTTTCACTTCAGTCAGTTTACATTTAATTCACTGTCAGCAGCATGCTTCATGTATGCAGTGATGAAAGAATGCCTAAAAAATTGCACCATGTTTTAAAGCAGAGATTAGCGAGGAGCAGAAAATATTGGCAAGAAAGGGGGAGGGAGTTCCTACTTTTGGATCTTTCAGTTCAGTCAGTTTACATTTAATGCACTGTTAGCAGTGTCAGCTAAAGCACAACATGGGTCTCTTGGGGTTTTTTTTGTGATTTTTTTCTTTCTTTCAGTTAGGCTTATCTGACTCTTTATATACTGCAGTTTGCACTAAGTACACAGAATGATTGTGGTTCAAATGGGTTGAGTTACATAATGAGAATGCTTTTTACTTTTGGAGAATTCCACAGTGTTTTGGACAAAAATAGATAGCAGTGAAATGAAAGTCATATTTGCTTGGTAAATGTTGAAGATATTTTTTTCTCATTTAAAAGTAGTCTCCTAAACAAAATCTTGCCTCTGCATGTCTTTATGTTGATTTACTCACCCTTACCACAACCAATTGACTGTGGAAAAATAGGAATCCAGTTCCTCTTTAAACACAATTCTGTTGTGGTAGCCTTTTAAACATTTTGCTGCACTTCATATAAAGGCATATAAACTGAAAATGGTAATTAGTCAGTGTATAAGGCTACAAGGAGTCAACATTGTTATCTACCCCTCTACTACATTCAAAATACTGTGAAATGACACTTTTGAGTCTCAGTGTAATAATACTCCAGTTAATTGATATGCAGTTGTTGAATTTAGATCCATACTCGTGTCCTTTGTTATAATTATCTTATACCATCTCAGTTGGAATTAAGCCATCAACAGTGGCCATCAAGAACAAGAGGGTGGATCACTCCTAAGTAACTGCTTATTGGTGAAAAGAAAAAAAAGATATTGATTTAACTGTTCATTAAATTACACACATAAGTACAATTTACACATTGTAAAGGTTCTGAAAGCTTGATGTCTATTTGAAGTGTGACTTTTTCACCAAGAGCTGTGTGTTTGATGTTGAATGGGTATGTTTTATCTGCATGCTTTATGGTGCTGTCTTATTTACAATACAACACATCCGAATATTGTGTATGCATGTTACTACCTTTTGACAAGTTCAGTAACACTTGCTATGGTGCAGTGATATGAGGGCATTAGCCCTTTTTAAACAACTTATGAGTAGATGGTAATTTAATGGATGGATTATGAATGCTAACTGACAGTTGTGTTATGTTTTTTGTGAATTGTGTGTCTTAGTAAGTTCTTCTGTTATAGTTACTATCTTTTATGAACAAGCTATAAAATTATAATCATTTCTATGTCTTCTCATTAAGATATATTAGAATAAAAAGGTAACATCACTTGACTCATTTAAGGTGATAAAATAGCTATCGTGTTGGCAACATTTAATAATGTAAGTAAGAAATATTTTCCAAAACAGTTTAGTTTGACCACTTAATCAAAATGCAGTTTGTTATTTGTGAACCAATATGACATTTCCAATTGTTCAAAATTATACATTTTAACCCAGACAGTAAAGTTAATTATTGTTTGATGTGATTTGGAAAAGGTATGTCAAACAGTCTTAAAACTGTTTTTGACAATATGATTTTCAATTTTAGGGTCCACACTTATTCATGCGAAAGGGAACGAGTTTCCAGGAAAAATCTCTTTAGTCAGTTTTCCACAGAGACAACAGCAAGTGCTGGAAGTTCTACAAGCAATTCTACCCTAGAGCAATTGGGTCAGTTTATAGGTAAAGATTTTGAAAGAAAAGCATTTAAATGACTTTTCTACTTTTTATTTAATTTAATAAACATAGGTTGACTTACAATTTAAAAGGAATGAGAAATATATGTTCTTGATATAATGCAGTTAATGGATTGTTAATTTATCCTTCTTTTCAGGATACTGTTTATTGTGTGCACATACATGGATGTGTAAGTACGCACATGTTTGTTTGTGTGTAGGTAGGTATTTTTTTTTTGCATTATATATTGAGACATGTTTTGCAAATTTTTATGGTCATTCAGTGGAGCGCACTCGAGAGAGAATTCGACACAGGTCAAACTCAACATCCACAGAATCCTACTGTGAGTCCACTGTGGTTCAACCAAAAGGAGAAGTCAAGTATCATATGCCAAAAGAGAAAGTTTTCAGGGGAGAGAGGTGATTACATAGTGTCTACACATACTTATTTGTTGATGCAAATGTTTGAATATGAATTACTTTATTATCATGCTTTCATTATTCATAGCTTTTAAAAATCTTCTATTTAGGCTTTGAATAATGAATTCTTTCGAGATCTCTTATTTGATTATAATGATAATTTTAGTCATTAAGGGATTTTTAGCACATTAACTTTAGTCCATTAATTAACAGTACACTCTAATACTCTTCCCTAGTTTTGAAAGTATATAAACTATATATAAAAATACAGTTTAAAACCACATGCAAATTTTTATATATTATGGTATTTTCCTTTGTTTCATAGGGTGATAGTTCTGTCCAAGAAAAAAGTGCCAGTCATAGCATATTCTGTGTTGCCATACACAAGACAAAGCCAACAAGGGATCCTAAATAAGTAAGTTCCTAACCAATGTTTGTAACAGGTATTTTTGTGCTTTCTGTCCTTGTGTCCTACTGACAAATATGTCCTCTTTCCAATCATTTTTATTTGTTTTCCTCATTCTAGTGGAACTTTGTTGAAGTTAAAGCAAGAAGAAAAATGTCAGTCTTTCATGTGTCTTGCTTTGAGGTCACATCAGGTATTTCTCAAATGAATTTATTTTAAACAAACATTTAGATAAGTAAACTGGTAGCAACACTGTATTTTCTTTCACTAGATCAGAGGGATTAACAGAAACGTTTCGCACACGGCGTTACTCTGGCAACCGACCTCTGTCTGTGAGCCAGGAAGGTATCTTGGGACTTGGGCTGCAGGCAGTGGAACAAGTAGAAGATGGACAGGTAACACTTATTTAGACTGGTTCACATAATTAGGGGCCGATTGGGGCAGTCTTCTGAGTCTTCCGGAAGACAGTCAGTTTACATTGATGGTTACCTTATTTTTTCTGTCGGAAGACGGTCAAAAATGGAGGATGGATCATCAAATCTAATTTGGAAGACTGTCAGCTCTGGATCCACCCTTGTTCATGAAGATTGTATCAGAAGTGGTTCTGGGATGAATATGCAACTTGATTAAGCAGTCAAATTTATAATTGGAGTTAACTTTTATTGTATCAAGGGCTGTCCTTCCTTACAATTTTATACCCTTATCAACAAACTACAAGTAGAGCATTGTTGTCCCTCTTAGTCATAATTTTTTGAAAATTTAGTATGTTTGTGCAAAAGATATATTAATTCATTGTTTCATTTGACTTTTATGTCTTTTCTATTTATGAACTTATCATCTGGATATTTTCTCTAGGATGTATCCTACAGTCAGTTCCTAGTCAGTTCTTCAGATCGACCACTGCAGCGTTTTTTATCTGCTGAAAGGATGCATTTGACTGGGGCAGACTCCGTTCCTGCTAGTCCTGGTAAGGGATTACTGCTAGAAATTTACTATTGCTAAAAGGCACACAGTGCATGTAAGGTCTTCCTTAAACAAAATTTTAATATTCTTGAAAATTTCCAAATTTTTCCTTAATCACCAATCTGTATATTATATCCAAAACCACTAACAGATTTACTATCCATACATCCGTTTTATAAAGTCTCGGCAGTATTATCTATTACTAATATTCTCTGCTTTGCTGGCTTTAGTTAGACATATGAATAAAAATGTTTCAATATACAATGATTAAAATTTAAATGTGCAAAATGTGCATATATAGTTATGTTTATCTTGATAGTGATTACTCATTCAAACATTCTACACTGTACTGTTTATACCCCACATTTACGATAAAAAAAGTCATTTGGTTTATAGGCATTATGCTTTGAGTTGCTTTATCTTGTGCAGAAATTCCACTGAAAGGCACACAGGCCATGGAAGAATGGCTACGATTGTGCAGACGTAAGATATTTGTTGTGAGGCATGTTGCTACATATGTTTAGCATTTGAATCTTGATTGAGCATTTTTGTCATTAATCCTGCCCACAGATTCATTGTTATACAAACAGATTTTTGTTTCCATATTGTGTGATCGTCTCATTTTCCTAGAAAGCGTGTTTTCTGATATATCATAACCTAGAATAGCAGTGATTCTAACTTGTTCCACCCATGGAATGAGTTTTTGTGCCAATGTGTAGTGTCCCTGTTGCCATTAAACAGTTTTTTTTGTATACAGTATATCTTTCAGTATATACATATGTACATGTATGTGCTGGAACTCGCCTTTCCAGTTCTTCACACAAATATACATTTAAATCTTGGATCATTTTGTACAGAAATAAGTATTCAGTCCATTTATGCACTTTTGACAGAAGGTTTACTTTTAATAAATTCAGATAATTTTTATATCACACACCCCCAACTCACCCTCAATCTATATTCTTGTGGATTGTCCCTAGTGCGACTTTAGTTTCCCTTTGTGTCCTTAAATACGTAAAAGATTGTTGCACTCTACCTGAGCACAATTTTCGTCTGTATGCATGGCAACTGAATGCTCTTCCAACCCACAAGTAAAACACAAACATTTTTTTGTGTATGATTAGTTCCATTTCCATTATATAACATGATTTAAACCTTGATGTTATTTAGTGAAAGTGTGAAGGTGCAGTTCATTCCCTTTTGGTTTTGTTTGTTTTTTCATCTGAAGATTATGTCCCTTTTGTATATTTCTGTTATATTTCTTAACAGGAATGTGCTATTAATGTTTGGTTAAGTTCTTTGATACCCAATGCACATATTATCCCAACTCAGAAGTAAGAATAAAAACCCTTCTTAGACTAATGATATTTTGATATTTGCTGTAGTGTTCCTATTTGATCAGAATAACAGCAGTAAATATTGGTTTCTGTGCAAGTGAAATTCCGGGATTTATTGTTTCAAAGTTACTCAACAAATTTCAATAAGAAAGAAATTTGGAGAAAGATTAGGAACAAGGGAACTTAGATCCCCAAACTTCACACACACACACACACACACACACACACACACACACACACACACAGTCTATCATTTTTATTAAATGCGCAAAAGAGGAGACAAAAACTTAATACAAATCACAGAAATCATGTTTATGATTCACCACCTCTACCAGCATGGTGACCATTGCATTTTTATTGCATTTTCCCTCAACAGGTCTGCAGCATGGTGCTCCCTTTTTCCGAAGTGGGTCACATGACCCAACCCTTTCACTCAATTGGGGAACGAGTAATTTATCACATTCTCCTTTTCTGGATAAAGGTAAAGTGAAAGGATAGTTTGATTTTCTCCTGTTTAGTATATAGTATCATTTTAAAAGTATCATTTACAAAGGATTGCCAATATTACAGTAACCAAAAGGAATACTGTAATATTGAGAACTATTGCATTACAGCTCTTAAAGTGCATAGACATAGTATCATGTTTTGTTGTTAAACATGATACTACCTCTAGAATATCATCCCATATCAAAGAAAGTCAATGATAAAAAAATTAGAATACACATGGATTGTTAAATGGAAATCTTTAGATCTTTGAAAAAAATCCAGCATGATCAAGTTAGGCATGCCAAATGAATGAAAAAATTCATTTGAATGGGTGGTTTGGTTTTTGTTGATGTTGTTGGTACATTAGTTGCAAGTCTGTACATTAATATTGTTGCCTTTATTAAATGATTATATTAATGGAGTAGATAACCTCACATTCCTGCCACAATATTGTATGGTTTTAAGGTGATGTAATGATGTAGAAATACATGAAAATACTTAACTGCAGAGTTATAAACAAATATGACAAGGTTGTGTAAGTATGATGGATGTACTTTAGAATATTAAAAACACTATCATTTGAGATGAGATTTTTTAACCCTAATGTACCATACCATGTATCATTTTGACCACTGCTAAGCAGTATGAAATGTTAGATGTTTTGCCTTTTTTGGAAAAGAATGTCAAAAATATCCTATATAATTTGGTTTTACGACATATCAAGTATTACCATAAAATTTAATTCACTGCAAAATCTGATCAGCAGTATTTGATGGCGCATGAAAGATGCTGTAGTGAACCCAGTGAATTATTTCAGGGAAAACAAGAAGGAGATTTAAGATATGTTTGATGGTTATTTTCCAGTTGCAGAACACAGTTTGAGTGCAGACTTGTATGATCCCAATTCTTTAGATGATCCAGAGTTGAGAGCAGGCAAACACAGGACCTTACTGAACTTTCCTTCATACATAGTAAGTGTCCTGATACTTGGACAACTTTTACAAATGATGTCAAATGGCAATATGTATTCAACTTAAACTCATTCATAAATTGATTGAAAATTGCTATTGAAATTGAAATTTAAAGCATATACAGACTGCAGGTTGTGCATTATAATTAAGCAGATAGTTTCTTGCAGTTGATTAAAATAGCAGTGTGTGCGATAAAGTTTTAATTCGACACGCATCATCAGTATGATCACCAGACATTCATCTCTTTTTCAGACATCAGTGATAGATTATGTGAAACCCTCTGATTTGAAGAAAGACTTGAATGAACAGTTCAAGGAGAGGTTCCCACATGTAAACATCACACTCAGTAAATTAAGGAAGTAAGTTTTTTGCTTGTAATTTTTATTTTTTTACTTGAAATTGAGGATCTCTTGTACTCTTATACTCAATGTGTGGTTTGCAGTTAAAACATTATGACAGCAGATAACAAGTTGTATTAGGTTTTGCTTGCTTCAGTTAGTCAGTTCTTCAGAAATTTGTGCAGCATTTCATTTCATATGAATCATCTTTCAGTTTTAAATGCATGCTTTTATTTGATTGTTTGATTTTTTCAGCATCAAAAAGGAAATGAAGAAAATTGTTTATGGGAAGGTGGGTTACATAAGGGTTCTTTGAATCTTAAATACAGTGGTTTAGTTTGTTTTGTAACAATGTGTTTTATAAATGACTTAATAACTGGTCTGCATCTGGAGCTTTCTATCACACAAATGGCACAATTTTGAGATGGAAACTGACAGACAATATGCATCTTGGACTCATGAAATGATATCCTCAATGATGATAATGTTTGGGATTTCAGTGCAATAAAAGAGACTACAGAGATTTGTGGGTTGTGGCTCAGTCATATGTGTACTTTGAAAAGTTGATATTAAAGGTAAGAATGCAGGTGTTATACATCCCACTAAGGATTAAAGGTTTTTTTTTTTTTTGTATACATATTTTTGTGGATATTTTTGCACCTTAGCACTTTTTTGGTAAAGAGCGATATTGTGCTTGATCAAAGAGCAATAAAATGCTTGATTAAATTAATTGAAAGTTTTTTTCAGTCAAAGTATATTAATATCCTTGATACTGTTGATAAATGTGCTTTACATAATTTTCTCATTTAAACCATATGCAGTGTGTTTTCCATATTATCTTGTTTACAGGGACTGATAAATAAACAGAACAGAAAGCTGGTGGCAGGTGCCTCTTTGATGTTATCTGCCAAGCTGAATGATGTCAAAGGAGGTGACTTCACTCATTTAATGGAGGTAAACCTAAAAATAATAACCAAATTTAATAGGCTGGATGTTGCAAAGAGACCAAGTTGAAGAAGATCCATTTCTCTGTGTGTGTGTGTGTGTGTGTGTGTGTGTGCGTGTGTGTATGAAATAAAGTGTCTGCATGCTAAGCGTTGATGAAGTCATATCATGGTTATTCATTGGATGTTTGTGTAGCATTAAAATTGTCAGTATGTTCCATTTAGAAATATTTTGTTGTGAAGTGATAAAAGACTTCGTCAAGTGAATTTTCCTATAATATATACTGTCATTTGTTATGCCACGGTACTTGTGTAGATTTAACAGTAACAATATTTTTGCTACTACCAGTACTCTGTTCTTGATGTAGATTTATATCTGGATATTTCAGGAATTGGAAACTGTGTTTAGACTTCACAGGAAAGAGCTTGTTGCTTTTGAATTTGCCGTTTTGGTTGCACTGGAATTCTCCCTGCATTTGCCAGACTGCGAGATCTACCCACACTTCCAGAGATTAGTTTATCAGTAGCCAATATGCTGTTGACTTTATTCTGCCATTTTAGATGTTCTTGTAATGATTGTCATTAAATCAGTGATTTTGGGGAGGTCCAGACTAGAGAGAGTTGAGATGCCAGGAGAACTGTACCTGTAGACTTTTATGAGATTAGATATCGTGAACAAAATCAATTTCTTTGAATGATTTGGTGAGGCCCCACTGACTACCATTATATACCCAGATGGTTGATAATTATTTTTGCAGGTGTGAAGTCTCACAACTCATAAGGATAAACAGAGTTTGTGTAAAGTGTGTGCAAATAATTAAGTAAACATGTGAGATTTCAAACCACCGGACTATAGTTTAAAAGTAAGTGAAGTTCCATGTGGCGTAACAATAGGTAATTTAAGGTGAATTGTGAAAGGATTTCACCTCATGCTTCGACTGATGTTCATTTCAGCTGGCATTGTTTTGTAAATTTGAGGATAGTACCATATTTTCTTTTTTGTTGTTGTTTTCAAATTGATCTGATTACAGTGTCTCTCAACACATGTCCCATGACTAATTTGTTTTGAGAAGTATGATTTAACAATGGCAGAGCATGCTTACTTCAGATGAAGAAGGGGGTGGTTGAAATACAAAATCAAATGGTAATTTTAAGTGATTATATTTTGAAATTCTGTACAGAAGTTATACAATTTGAATGCCCAGAAGTTGTTTTCACTAAGAGATGTTATTGTACATATTTTAAATAACACAAGAATCAAATAAGGGCAATTGTGCCCATGTTAAGTTACAAGTTACATGGTGCTTGGTGCAATTTGAAGTGTTTATGCACAGAAGTTGTTTTGTAACATGCCAGGTGCTGTGAGTTATTGCAAATGACAACAGCTATTATTCTGTCCCAGAAAAAAAAAAGAGTCCCAAGCAACTTGAAAATTAAAAGATTTAAAAATGAAACGTATCATCTCTATATTAACATCAAAATTGTTCATCCATTGTTATGTTTCTGTTTCTACTTTTGTAAAGAAACTGTTACTGGTTAAATGTTTTTGCCACATATCTTTTTTCTTTCAAATTAAATGGATATTTCCATTTTGAGGCATGAAATTATGTTTTATATTATTTTTTATGGGGTATAATTTGTAATTAAGCTTGATATATCATGACATAAGTATTTATTAATTTTTTTTAATTTTTAAAAAATGATGAATAAACTCATCTTCTAAATGTGTTTTGTCTCCTTTTCAGCCGATGTTTTAATGCTCATTAATGATACAAGAAATTTGGTATGCTTGTTCAACTTTATTTTAAACCAATAGTCTCAAATGAAATCTATATTCCAGAGTCCAATTTCAAATGAAAAAATATGTTCTCATTCCATCAGACGAGTGGATGGTAATGTCGTGTACAACTTAAACAATTTTTCGTATCCAAACGTCCGCAACATTTTGGAGTGGTGTGAGACAGGCTATGTGGTCCGTAGATGATGGATAACGTCCTTATCGCAGACATTTCCAATGCCTTCACGGAGAATTCACATGGCAAACTAGGTTTGCTAAACATTTGATCGATTTTTATACAGCCTACTAACCTAGTTTAATATACAAGTTATTAGATCCACCCCCCCTCTCCGATCTTCCCTTTCTCCATCTCTCTCTCAACCTTAATTTGGCTTATTCCCTACCTCTTACTAAGCAAACCTAAACGTTTTTGTAACGCCCACTCCCGCGCCTCGTTTTCTTCCCTCACACTTTGATATTTTTCTGTGTAATAATAATCCGACTCGTGCTTTTCTGGATCAGTGTTCAGAATGACGTATAAATTGCCATCTCTTTCGTGCACTTGATGCATTCGTTGCTTCTTTCCCAGGGATTTGTAAACTGGTGGATCCACGCCCTGCAGAAAAAAATGCCCTTTAGCGTAATCAGGCGAGATAAAAAAAAAAGAGGCCTCAAAATAATAATAACAATGCTTAAAATACGCATGAAATTTAAAGAAAATATAAAGTGGGACGACCACGTTTCTTATAATAGGTTTCGCAGCATGTTTGCGTCCTCTACCCACCCCACCCTCTACGTGCAGCTTTTGGATCCATTACTGCAATTTCAAACAGATAACTTGCGAAGTGACAGATCGTTGGATTGAACTTGGACACAGTATACTGGGCCCCAGGATTAACCCAACACACCAATGAAAATAAAAGCAAAGCGATATTGTTTCTTACTGTGTATCCGTATATCGCTTCTCCAGATGTCAGACACAGGCCATAATTGTGCCATGGACACACAATGCAGTTATATTTCCCCATTTCCTACAAAAAAAAATCCACAAATGAATATCAAGTAGCTATAAATGCATCTATGCATCATTTTAAGCACAAAGTGCAAAGCAAAAATTGAGCCGATCAAATAGCCGCGTTTCATAGATTAACAACAGTACTATCTCACTCCCTGATAACCACCACTAAGCATAGCAAAACCCCTGTAAATTACGGTCCTAATAAGTAGGATGAGGTTTACTTACCTCTATATCACCTGCTATAAGTGGTCCTCCTTGATCTTAAAAGAAAAAAACATAAAAACCACTATTAATGAAAACGTTGTACTCAATTGCATTTGCTTTATCAACCAAAATAAACTATATAAAATATAAATATTCGGAACTATTGCCCGATCGATAATCAGAATCTGATATTCTTACATTTGAAAGTGATCTTCCCAAATTTGCACGTTGCTGGGCACGAAAGGCGGTCGTGTTTGCGTCAATATTTGTAATAGCTGATTTCAATTAGTACTTGTGAGGGTGCATAAAGAGAACTTTTTTCTCTGTTCATCGTTTCCGTGCTCACGTACTTACATATTTTTGCGCATGTCATTTTCACACGTCAACTTTGATCTTGATAAAAGCTTTTGCTTGCGTGCAACAGGATATATACAGTGCGATGTTACTTACGGAAACAAAACTGGTCCATAGCAGTGAATTCGCCCTTATAATGAAACAATAAAATTTCTCTTCCTTTTATATTGATCAGCTTCTTCCCCACTGCAATCAAATCTTCTTTGGAGCACGCTAAAACTGCTTCTTTTTCCTAAAATATCAGTGGAGTTTAAAAAAAATCTGTTTGTAGACTTTGTTTATGTTACTTTGAGCTTAAGCTCCGACGCCAGCTACTCAATTTCAAATCTCTACATAGGTACGCTAGGGAACATAAAATGAACATAACATGTAGTCGACTCTTTTCGGGGCACAATACTCCGGTTTCAAACTTAAAATCTGGAAAAAGAACAGTCCACCTTGCTGTTATAGCGTCTAAAAATGTAGCTACCCCCACC